GTCAGACGCGCGCACACACACACAACCGAGTCAGACGCGCGCACACACACACAACCGAGTCAGACGCGGGCACACACACACACACACACACACACACCGAGTCAGACGCGCGCACACGTTTATGTATTCATGTATGCATGTATGTTTGTTTCAAACCAACTATGGTTCTTGTGAAAAACTAAATAAAGGAAATGAAAAATAATTAATTTAATTTGCGGGAATGCCTGTCTTTATTCAATTTCTGCACTTTTACTTTACCTATATCTACAATTTGAATTAATGTATTGATGTACGATGTACGTTTTTAGCGGGCTTTGTTGTATAGCTATTCATGACATAACTGTTTAATTTCTTAATTAATTATGGGTTTGTTAGGTTGTCTTTAAGCGTAACAATTAACTTAAAATATACAAGAATCTGCTTAAGAGTGAGCCAAAATGACATTTCTGTGAATTTCATGTGATTATATCATATAATTACTGATCGCTACTTAACTGCACAGGAGCAGGAAACTCTTGCGACATTGCGCTTTTGACATTTACGACTGCTTTCAAATAAACATAATACTTATCAAACAAAAAGTGAATTCATTGTAATGTTTATAAAAAATTATTTTTACAGAAGAGCACAATAGCAATGCACTTGCTAATTTCAATTATTTCTCGTAACGAACTACATTTCGGACGAGGACACAACATAAAGAAGCGCCGAAGCCATTTACAAGTGCCTTTACCAACTGCAAACGAACGAATGAAAATCAAAATGGGCAGGACTTAAAGACCGCAGAACCTTCAGTTATGTTGCCAGCACTAGCTGTCAAAACTGTCCATTCTTATTAAAAATCGCTCTACATCTTGGGACACGACGAAAAATAATTGTGTGTATGCGAAACAAACAATAGTGTTCCATAAAGAATGCCTTAGAAGAACTTCATAAAATGCACAATTTAAACTGAAAAAACAGTTCTATTTATGGCACAAATAGCGCTTTTAGCAAGAATTGATCAGAAAATGTGTGTCCATTGCTGGCAGCGCTCATCGCTGCATGCGCGCTGTGTTGTCAGTGCTCATTGCGATGTGTTGATATGGACAAAAAAGCAATATAATATTACATAACCGTTACTAAGGGGCGAGGAAGTATGTGCTGGTTTAGCACCACTAGTTCTTTTACACATGCACGCCCTCCCTATTCCAATTCAAAAGCCATACATGCACACAAAACTTTAGTGAACTAAGTGCATCTGCCAAAGAAGGAGAAAAATTAAATATAACAATAGGAAGCAAAGAAGCTTTAAAGAAGTATTCATTGAATCTTTTTGTTTGTTTATATACAAGTTGAGTAGAAAGAAATATAAATAAGCAATAACACCACATACTATAAATAGTTTCTACTCACTTCTTCAGCTTGTGGAACTTCTGTCTCAGCTTCTGCAGGCTGTTCAAGAGCAGCAGCAGGAGTGGGTGCAGTAAAGTCGGAAGCTAGAGTTAGAGATTGAGATGGAGCAGGAGCGGGAGTGGAAGGAGATGCAGCAGGTTGATCCTCAGCCGGAGAAGCAGGTTCTGTAACGTCTTCTGGAACAGTTGGTTTTACTTCTGCAGACTCTGGAGTAACTTGTAATGTAGAAGCTGGTGTCAACAGGGCAGTAGATGGATCTGTGGATCCTGGAGTTTGCTCAGCTGGAGAGATACTTTCTGCATTACTTGCCTGCAATTCAAAGTTTTTAACAAGAATATTAAAGACATTTAGTAGTACAAGTGTAAGGAGTAAGTAAGAAGTATATAAATATTAAAATAAAATTCTCATACACATTTCGTAGTACTACAATTCATTTAAATAAAGTCTTCTGATCACTTTCAATTATTGACGGTAAACATCAATGAATCACTTGAACTTTATGAATCGAATATCAAATTTATTGTATTTAAAAACAATAAAACTTATGGTAATTCAGTTCTTTTGAACAATGTAGTACAATGGAGAGTATGAAAAGAAAAAAACTGAATTTAAAACTTTCGATCCTAAGGACTTATAGATTATCTTCATATTACTGCTATGTCCTGTGGATTCTTCTGTGTTTATCTTCTTTGTCAGACTGTTAAAGACTCTTGGACATTCGTAGGCACCTAGAATAATCTTCATAATGTCACTATGAAAGTTGTATAACAATATTGTCGAAGATTGCTTCTATTTGTTGCATGTATTCACAATTTTTTTCTGTGATTAGATATTTATATTTCTGGGCTTTGTCAATTATGTTCAGAATCTTTCTTTGTAAGTATTGTTCGTACTGGTAGTGACAAACACAGATGTTTAGGAGCCATATACAGATGTCAAATATACAGCGACTCAACATTAGAGGTTCACAAGATTTTGATAGGATTTTGGATAGGATCTGAATTCTTGTGATGAGAACAATTCGACTAGAATGTTGATTAGTTCAAGCAATGAAAATAATAGCGGAGAGATAATTGTGTGAATGATTCTATTAGGGAGTCTTCTCAAATTTAAGAGTTTTTATTTCCTTTAGAATGGTGTGACATTTATATTGAATCTGAATTACCAATGTTTGACACTACCAGTGTTTGACACTACCAGTGTTTTTACACTCACCATTTTATTACTGAAGATTCAAGTAATGGGGATTTTTTTCCATTATTTCTTCTCTACGGTGTATTTCTAAATACCAAACCAGAAACAATAGCAAATGAAACTATATTTGAACTTCAACAAAATATCAATTATGGTGTGCCAGTATTGTAGGATGACCCTGTGTTTCCTCCACATTTTATGACAATTGTTCTTTTTGCAAAAATAAAAAAAAATGAAAACACACACACACACATGAAAGGATGGAAAGAATTCCATTCTCACCCTTATCTTATTATCAAATAACAATAAGATTATATATAAACTTTAAGGGAAAAGACAATACTACAAGATATCATCAGTTTCAAATAAATTTGTACAATATTTACTTTTAACGTTTTGAATAATACCAACATTGCCAGGGACACAGGAGTTAACCGCATAGCATAACTCTCAAGATTTAACGTGTTAAAAAAGGGTCTACAGCATGGATTCTCAAATGGTGATGTGTACAGTAGCACAGTAATTTTGTAGGGGGTACGTAAATTTCCATGAGAAAATTTAAAGAGGTAATGGAGCATTGATGTAAAGTGTGAATACATTTTTATCTGGGCCTCCAATTCACAATCAAAAATAATTTTCAAATGCTGAAAATGTTTATCTTTAAGTATTAGTTGTATAAAACAAAATAGTTTCATTGAATGGTTTTAGTATATCATTATAATTATGCAAACGGGCTAAAACAGTGTTCGTAAACATTTGCACCAACAAAGAATGCTGCAATGCCAATATCAATGAAATGACATGCACACAGCTTATCAGAGTATTTTAAGATAAACACACAACTCTCTGCAATTAAAAAAACAACTTTAACGAACCTCTGTCACTTTCTCTTCAGCAATGACTGCAGGTGCAGCATCGTCTGCCACTTCTGGTTTCTTCTCAGCCCCCTAAACAAACACAATTTGAAATATTAACTCTGTGACAGAAATTAATTCATGAACAGCATTTTATTTCTGATAACAATGTTCCATAAATTTGTGTACCAGAACAAGCATATACATTCTTTGCTTATCTCTATTGTCCTACACACGAGGGACATCGAGAAATTAAGACTACAAGGGCTGTGTAGGACACAGACACACACTTTTTTCAAAGTTGGCACCCCAATTATATAGACTGTTTCTTAATGGTCATGAATGGCTCATGGTATAGAATGTTTCTTAACGAGCGCCACAGCTCGTTACAAAATGTCGTCACAGGAGCTTATCACGTCATCCAGTTCGTCGCCCGTTTGCTCCACGTACCACAGATCTGAGATTTGCTGTCAGTTTCCTCACGTTGCGCAACGCATCGGCAGCCAATATCCATCGCCAGCTTGAGGAAACATTTGAATGCGAAGTAATGAAGTCAGAATGGCGCCAAATGGATAACATTGGTACAGTGGCGTCATACCCATTCGCCATAAACTCCTTAATACTTCTTAAACAAATTTAACATTCACAGAGAAAATTTATGGCATCGTCTTTTGGGACCGGAACGGGTTCTTGTCGATACCCTATAGAAATTGAAACGGATGCCGACAACACCACTCCCCATACCGCCTGGCTTACTCAGGGCCTGCTCGCATCGTTTGGATGTGACATTGTGACATTGCGACCTTCCTCGCCGGACCTGGCATCCCCTGGTTACATTCTTTTCATCAAACTAAAGGAGTTTTTGGGTGGGCAGCGATCTTCTAATGATGAGGTCAAGGAGACTGAAAAAATGAATTAAAAGAGGTGCAGCGTAAGTTATACCACGAGGGTATACAAAAGTATATTCATTTTTCGATTTCTAACAAGTGTTGTATTCTTACTTTCTGGACGTTTCAGCTAAGAATATAAACACTTGCCGGTCTTGAACTATCAGTCACTTGTGAACTTTAAGTGTCATTACACAACAATGTCATAATGAAGACAGCCATGCAAACTTTGAATTGTATCAGTCTTCACAACAGCTATTCAGAAAAGCTGAACGAGCATTACTTAAGAGAACAGTACTTTTCTAATGAATAGCCAAGTTGTCAAGAGAACATGTCTCCCCCCGTCCTACTTCCCTGTATTCAGAAAGAATAAGCACCGGCAAGCAGCGACCATTATACTTTAACCAGGGGAATGAAGCCATACCCAGAAGGGCCCTCGAGATACCGCCCTGGGAAGGGGTGGAGTGAGGGGAAGCGTGGGAGCACGCATGAGGGCGCGCCTTTCCGTAGCCGTAACCTAATGACGCAGCCAAAGATAGTGAAAGGGCGCCGATCATACCAATCTGGAGAGTTTTTTTTATCCACTAATCAATGGCGGCCGGTACGGAATTCTATTGGTGGTGTCAGTGATCGATAACTAAACGTCGATGTTACCAATAATCGATGTTTAAAATTAAAACAACCATGTTAAGAAAGTATCGATAAAAATCGATGTTTTAAAAGTGGTTGAGTTAGCTCTAATATAAAATTCGTGGGCAACAATATTTAATTTTGCAGTGACGGTGTTTTTATTAATTTATAATAAAGATTAAACTAAAAACGAACTAAAATTAAAAAGAGCAAATAAAAATACTCACCCTAAAAAGCCTGAGCACCCACAGTAATCTCAAGAGTTCACAGCTTCCAGAGTTCGGCCTACGCCTGTTCATGTGCGAAACACAAGGAAAGACGTACGAAATACCAGGGCATCGGCGTCATGCTGAGCGAAAGATAGTCCGCTCGATGAAGCATGTGAAGCAGAACGTGAGTTACTGTGCCACTACAACTCCAACTCCGTCTCACCCATAAGAGATGCATACAACACAATACAGCGTTCTTTATGCAGAGTTAAATGGGCAGAGACGGAGCCACTTTGAAGGTGGCTCAGAGGTTCAGGAGGAGGCCAACAAATAGCATTACGCACCGTGAGTTTGAAGAGTGTATTTGACACAGCATGGAATGACTACGCGCTCGTTCTAAGGAATTACTATAATGAAAACCTATTTTGAAGAAACTATATTTTAAACACACAATTGTGAAAAATTTATTTTCCCTCATTTTTTGTTGGTGCTATGGCACAGAATTTCACAACAAATGTACAAATGTGCACTACATCGAAACTATTCATGAAGTGATAGATTGCAGAGAAGCTTCTATGTTAAGTTACTTTAAAGTTAATTGAAGGGAATACGAAAATGTAATAACAATAGTTTAAATATATTCGTCACTGAAGTATCACTTCTGCCATCAATTTCTGGCATTAAAAACAGACTAAGGCGGCTGAAGTTCGACTTTGTGTAGACCAAGACAAACCACAGCGTAACCCCTTTCACCATAGTAATGCTCGCGTGGCTCAGTGGCGAAGTCGCTAGCCTTTGTCCACTGAGGTTCCGGGTTCGATTCGCTTAGAATCCCCTAGGACAAGAACGCCTGTGAAGCGATCTAAATCTTACCTTTATCCTTATTCCTTCCCAATTCTGGCCGATAGATGACGCAGAGCGCGTGCGAGCACAAGACGCTACCTATCGGCGATTCCCTGACTTGACAGCGTCTGACCTGACTTTAGTACTCTGCGGCCCCTAGAGGGTGCTGAGTGCTTAATAACGGAGGATTACTCCATGATGCGATAAACGCTTAAGGAGTTAGAAGACACGTTGCGTCTGCGACGCAAAATTGCCTACGAAAGCAATCATTCCTTCGTTCGCCTATAGCCCAACCGGGCAATGGCTACACTTACAAGTTAGTGAATATTTCCTCCAAAACCACCACCCACTTCCAGAAAGAAAGAAAAAATGCGGAGGTCGTCTCCTGGAGCTTCGATGTCGCTTGACGCAAAGCAAGAATTTATGAGGTACGGGCAGTACGAGAATAAGATGAATAATCAAATATTAGCATTCCGCAGACAAAATCGAAACTTTTTCATTGTTTTTGCCCCCCCCCACCCCCCGAGTTCCTGGGTACCCTTAGAAATCTTGGACATCTCTCACATGGAGGCTACATAATCATCTTTCAATTTCTGCGAGCATTGGAAACTCGTAATATGAATTTTGTCTACACAGAAATATAACCCGTTTGGTAAAGATGTTCGACGCTTAAACACTTAATCATTACAAAAAGCGTTTTATATTACATAGATACAACAGAATTGTGATGGGTACCGCAATCACTAGTAGAATGAAATTATAACTATTATGACATTTAATAAATACAATTTATTTTATGTTTTGCCACTTATACGGTTGCCTGGTCCGTTGGAGAGCCTCTCCTTGAAAGGTGGTAAAAAAAAAAAATCCTGACTGGCTACGACCCTCCCCTTGTGCCCACGCCTATGACCGTAATTTAAAATTCTTTCAAAACAAGAGCACTTATGGTACACTGTAGATAACTTCTGGATCGCTAGTGAAATTAAGTTTCAAAAACTTTTAACACATTAAATATACTGATATTTTCTTTCAGAGGTTTTTGAGAGAGGTGAAATGTGTCTTAGTTTTTGCGACACTTTTTTCGCTTACGACTGATAGCAGGTGCTTGAATTGTTTAGGCTATCAAAACATGTTTTTTAATAATAGCGGAAAACCTATCTACATATATTTCCCGCTCTTCAATTAACTGAAGTTTTCGCCAAGCCCAAACAAACACTAGAAAAAACACCACCGTAAATCAGGACATTCTTCAAAGATGCTCTAGACAGATAAACTGTCCAAAATAATTTTTAATAGAAAAATATACCCAAACATATAATCATGAAAAAACGGGATATAGGAATTTGAAGTGCTATTTAACAACTTATACCTTGAAAAGGTTCGATATATTGTTGTATGTCGATTCGATTCTTTGCACATTCCTTGAAGTTATATTTGCCTACTTAAGCGCCGTGGAAATTTTACTACTTAGACTATGTCATAAAAATGCAATATTTATATTTTCACTACATGTCATAGAATAGGACTAGCATACGTTGAGTGAGGAATTGTTAATACTGCAACGCAACCATTCCACAGAAACAAAGCCTTTGTCGCTTACTAGTGGAGTTAGGCAGCCGAAAGAGGGGTGTAGGGAACCTGAGGGGAAGGGGAGAAGCCAGGCTTGTGCGGAAGGAAGCACAGGCTGGTAAGCAGGCAAACTGGTGGCGGCGACCGGCTCACTCAGCGATGCCGCCCACGTGAGCAGGATGTACGTCCGGTTGGTCATCATGGAGTCAAGTTCCTGTAGTACCGCTTTATATTTCCTTCGGCTATACACCACTGCAACGCAGAATTTTGACTGAGGGCGGGCCTATTTTGCGTGGCGGCACGCGAGAATTGATGGTTCATGAACATCGCTAAGAAACCGCTTCACGCATTTCCCTTTCCGTAAAACGGAATACACACAGTATACTTTTTATTACATATAGCTTGCTAAGAGGAAACTGAACGATCTTATTTTCACGTCAACTCGTATGAGAGTTACTTCAATTTGGAATTGCGCGTGGACAAATAAAAATGAGAAATTTGCGTATCTATTATTGAAGCGAAGTTCTTCGATTCATTTCTGCGACGATTAACGGCAAACTCAGAAGGATATATTAGCCAAAGTAACTAGTACCCTAATATATTTTGTATGTTAGCGAGCGAGAATGAATTTCGATGAAGTAAACCTAATTATTTCATCTTATTGTGCAGATCCTCTAGCACAAACATTTCAATCTGATAAATGCGCAAAACTTGGCACAACGGTCTGCGGACTAGTTTGCCAAATGTCCCAGCTCTACTTGGCATTCGCACACAGGACACATTCTGCAATAAAAGCGATCGCCTAAAACTCTGCAACCGAGGTCAAAACAAACGTCTCAAAGCCACGTGTGGGAAGTTTTCGCTTGCCTGCTTCAGTGTTAAACGCAGTTGCCGTTAGTAAACGTCCTTTCTGGCGATAACTTCGAGTTACGCTCACGAGGAAAGCTGACAAATG